TTTGTACATTTATTTCTTTTTATTTTTTAATAAATTTAGGAATTTTGTTTAGGAAGTAACAGACACCTTGCACATTTTTTTTCTGGCCTTAAGTAACTAACTTCTTTTTTTACCCTTCTCAGACAAAATGTCCATTATCTCTGCCCCTTGGTCCTCGTACAGTTTACAATCCCAGAAATTATGTTTCTCCGTTTGCAGCCCGTCACCACATTCACGTTCAACCGTGGACGCAATGCTAAATCTGCTTAAGCTTACTTTAAGTCTCGAGCGGCCTTTTCACGTAAGGTTTACTGACACGAAGGCACGACAGCTCGTTTTTATCTCGCGGAACCACGGCAACGAGCCATTCCTGTAGTACCTTTCAAAGTAGCTTTTCATCTGTCCCTATTGGTGTTTCAGCATAAACTGCGAAGCTCCTCTTTGCTTTACTTTTCCCTCAAGGCTTTAAAATCTGCCGCTGGATATGGTATTTACGTCAACCACACATGCCCACTGCCATCTGGTGAGAAAAATATCAACCCAATATGTTTTAATTTCCCACCGGCAAATAAATGGGCTCTCGTAAACTAAGTAATGATGACATAACGGTATAAGAAGAAACTTGCGATGACGTAACATTACTTGACCATGCTGTGCAACAGTAACAGCAACGTTAGTTTCCGAGACTTTGATGTAGTTTATTTTATATTGCAGTGAGTGAATGTATGTGAAGTTCGAGGTTATATGTACCCCATTCGTCCAGAAGGCTCCAAATTTTGACCATTTTACCTCGTGTGTAATAGCTTTTAAATGTCACAAACGTCACAAACCTGCGAATTGATAATTGTGGTCAGTTTTATCGAACTTTGGATACATGGAATGGTATGCAAGTATAGAACATTTACTATTATTCTCTGGAATCTACCATGAGTGGTACACTACCTAGGAAGAAGGTCTAGGTATACAACGTGTGTTCATATGCAAAAACAGCAACCATTGGTGTAAGCATGACATTAATTTTCTCTGATTTCAAACATCAGTGAGAAGGGTTTGAATGAAATTGAATTTCAGTGGAGCAGTGTTCTCTTGATAAATTCTGAAGAATTGTGTATATCAGACAAAATTCAGTAACAGGATTAGTTCCTTATAACATTGCCAGTAAAGTGTAATTCACAATTAATAAATGGTCATGCTTTATTTTAGATTATGGGCAGCTTTTGTGTGCTTTTGTGTAATTGTTTGCCAAATTGGTTTCAGGGTGTAACATTGCAACCAAAGCACTCCGTCTTAACTGTAGGGTAGGATGTGGGTTGTTGATATAACCATGAATCATTTGTTCCCTGTTAGGAATCCTGTTGTCGGAGCTTGCAAAAAGACGTGAAACATGATCTTTACGTAAATAAAACTTGACATGCAGCAAAGATTTGCAGACATAAGAATTAGACATGGATTTGTTGTCGAAGAACACATAATTGATGATCATCAAGTTCTCTTTATTATCCTTGGAGAAAACCTATCACCTTACACCTGGAAAAAGTTAGATCAAGTGTTACAGTGTGTTAACTAACACTCTGGTGGAAAAACTTGAAGGTCCAACACTCCTGTTTGAAAGCTCACCAGTCAGCATAACTTAGAGTTAGCTCCATCTACTTCCTGTATTTACACTCTAATTTCCTGTGGTCCATCTTATTGATGTTCCAAGTGGACATTTCTCAGTGGGAATTCCTACAAAAATACTGATAGGCTAATAATAATGTGTAGAATTGATTTTTTCCTGATTTCTTCAGGAACTTCAGGTGATAGCATTAAATGATGTTACCCTTTTTTTTTGTACTGAGTTAACCAGATTTTCCATTTATTAACATTGTAAATGTGCTTTTGTCTCTTTCAAACAAGTTTTCTTCTTGTATCATTAGTGAGTTCCTCAGACATCCAGTTCTATAGAAAACTTATCTTGAATGTAGCAAAAGATGTGGGGTACTGCAGTAAATTGGCATACTAATTGACAGTATTTCCACCATTTCCTTTGTATTTATGCTTCTCGGCCAATGATATTTTTGCTGTTTGATGAAGCCTCCTCCTGACACATGGGGTAAATTGTACATGACTGTTTCTGTTGATACTCATTCTTCCAGCAGTGTAAGAAAGAGATTTTTGAAATACATGTTATTTAGCATTGTTTTTTTTCTCATCTGTATGCTATACATTTTGGAAAAAAATATATAATTACTACCCAGTATAATTTTTTCAGTTTTCTGTAGAAGTTTAAATTAGTGGTATGTATTTAAAACACCCAGTTATCTTTTTATGTTTTTCAGATTCCATATGCACTTACCTGAAAATGGATTCTGACATTCTGTCCCATCTTGTCCCCCAAGGGAAGGAAACCATTCGTCCAGCCTGTAAGAAATGCGGTTATGCTGGCCATCTGACATTCCAGTGCAGAAATTTCATAAAAGTAGATCCAAACAGAGAGATTGTACTTGATGTAAGCAGCACCAGTAGTGAAAGTGAAGATGAATATTTGACACCACTTACAGAACTGAGAGAGAAGGAATTGAAGAGTAAATTGAAAAAAGCCAAAAAGAAAAGGAAGAGAGCAAAGAGAGAGAAGAAGAAATCTAAATCGTGTGATTGTTCACGGTCTCGGTCTGATGATAGTGAGAACGATGATATGAAAAAACGTAAAAAACATGACGACAGTGACCATGATGATGATAATATTAAAAAACATAAGCACAAGAAAAGAAAGAAACATTCACATCATAAAAAACAGAGGAAGGAAAAAGGGACATCTTCAGAAGTTTCAACTGATACAGACAGTACTTAAGGCCATAGAAATGTATACATGTGAAGTGGTTATTGATATTTTATTACACTTCTAAATTTATCATTTCCTGTAAAAAAAGTTTCATGATAATAAAGTTCTTATATACTATTTCATCAGAGTAAGACTGCTGTACATGCACTATGTAAATTGTAGAATTGCATTGTTCTTGTTCCTAGAAAGATCACTTTAATGGCTCTTCCCTCTGCTTTATGGAGCAGAGTCCTTCTGGAGGACCATTAGACACTTAGCACCAGTGGTTTCTAGGGGTCATCTGGCAAACAAAGCTTATGCCAAACCATGAAATGCCAGATTTGAGAGGCTAAACCTGTACTTTTATAATATACAGTAAAACTTGGTTATAGCAACATCGGTTTCTGCGACACCTTGTCTATTGCGTCAAATATTCAATGGCACGAACTAATTCCTCATAAAGCAACTGTTTCTATACCTTGCTTAGTACGACATGCACAAATGCATCAACCTCGTATGTAAAGTCATTTTCATTCCTGAATTTCTCTGATATGGACATTGAACGTAATTTAGAAAGTGTGTATTGGGCAAGTAACAGGAAACAGATGAAGATAACTGATTACTGTACTCGTATCTAGGTACAGTAAGGCACAACAATTGATGTAATCTACTGTAATTTGGTGAGTAGGCCTACCTTTAATATATAGTATTAGTGCGGTGTGTATTGTCAGTGAAAAGCGCTGTAATATGTCTCTGATATTACACATTTGGGCAATTCCACGTTAATATTACGTTAGTCTGTCTTAACTACGTATTTCACTAAAAAATGCAACATTTTAACTCGGTTTTTGGTAGATTTTTACGTGACTAACATAAGGCTACTGTGGAAGTGCCCATTTCGGTTACGACATTCGTTTATAACGACACTATTTTTAGGTCCCTTTGATGACGTTATAACCAAGTTCTACTGTACTACGCTATGCTATATATACTGCACAATATAACTAGAAATGTGATATGACTATATTCTTCCCATATTTTTATATTCCCAGTTATATTTGTTTGTTGCTTACCCTATCAAAGTAAACAGAACATACTGATTTTGTTTGGCGACCATGTTTTAGATCCCAAGAAACCTTGCATATTTACCAAAAGTCTATTATTAGACCATATTTTAGGATCTTGTATTAATTGATGATAGTGGTTCCCCTATTTCAGAAGTTTTAACAAGGATGAAATAGGCCACTGGACTTACTCCCTAATAATTATCATAAATTTAATTATGTAGTATTGTTATTTATTTCTTGAACAGCCTTCAATTACATAACAAAATGTACATTGCATAATACAGATAACAAAATACTTTTTGTGGCATATCTAATGCTTATTCGTCAGTACCCAGCACTGAAAACTTATTAGAAACATCAAATCCAGAATCTGAATCACTGTCTTCAGGTCCAGAACTGCTGTCTTGTTTAGCTTTTTCATAAGCTTCATTACCATCTGCTTCTGGTACTTTTCTACTATTCTCTTCCTCCTCGCCTTCTGATGGAGTAAAATCACCACCTTCATCACCTGCTGCTTGTTCACTTGTTTTGGCTTGGATCCATTGAACAAGTTGAACATCAGCATGCTTCTCCCAGTAATCTGAAAAAGTAAAAAACTGATGAAAGACTGTTTTCCATTTAATAATTTTCAGCTTTTTTCTGTGGTTTGCCTGACATTAAGAATTATAAAGAGCACAGTTAGTATGCAAACACATTATAGTACAGGCTTTTCTAATCCTTTAATCAGCCTGAGATGGTACATTTGATCTTATGTGGAGAAAGAGAAAAATAATTTTCCAGTAAAATTTATGGCAGAGGCATCCTGTCCACACAAAACTGATGCTTTCAAAGTTCCTGTAGTTTTGTCAGTTTTTCAACATTTTTGCAGAACTTTTACTTTCAACACAATTAAACATGGTCGAAATAATTATTTTTCTTTGTTTTTAAGCACTTACCCACTTGCATGGTTTACAAAATTATCATTAGCCATTCTCTAGCAACGTGCACTTCTTAGCACAATAGGACTGAAGAACTACAACTGTTTGCAGCATACTGGCCTGACTATATGTGAAAATCAGGCAACAAAGGGGAGCTCTTTCATTTAGCTAACACCACAGTAATATGCTTAATGTCAGGAAATGTATGTGTAGTGTATGTAACAATTCTGACACTTCCTGTACTGCCTCTAGACAATATAAATAGTCTTAATTTATGGGACAAGTATGCTGAACATATAATGTGTTTCACTTTTCTCTAGAAGTCTGAAATTCTGCTAAATATTTAAATGAGTTATGCTCAAAGATATAGAAATGTTTGTGGGTCTTCATGTAGAGCCTGTTATTACTGTCCAACATGAACCAAGACTGGAATGTGATGACAAATATTAATAAAATTCCTCATTAAAAATTTCAAGAAAATCCATTCAGCAATTTACCTTATGTATGAGCAGTTGCAGAAATCGATGCATAAAATGCATGTAGCTTTGGTAAAAATTTGGGGAATAATCTTCACTTAATTTTATACTTAATGTTCATCTGTTTTTATTTTCCAGCAGTACAATTAAATATTTCAAAAGCACTATAAAAACCCTTGCATAAGAAAAGGTTCAAACTTTCTATGCAGTTATGAAACTCACCTTTTTTACTAGAATAGCCAGGAGGATGGAGACATAAGCAGATCTTTCCATCTAATGCCATGCGTAACAGGCTATTGGCAGCACGATATGAATCAAGACGAGCTGCTCGAGCTGTATAGAAACCACGCTTCAAAGCCCAGCCTAATTAAACAGTAAGAAACATGTCACCTTTATTCAGTATCCAAGGAAATGCTAATATATATTTAAAATTCTAATTACTTCAGCCTTTTAATGAAACTTGGGGCATGAATGATGACTTTTGAAGTAATTAAACTTGATATAATTCTGTCTTACATGAAGACATCTGATTTGCTAAGTCTCAGCAAAACCTGTTTATTTTAATTATATTCGTACATTAAGTCACAGGTGGAAATGATGAAATGGTACAAATTAACAGATCATAACTACTTATGATATACTAAAAGGAATCCCACAGGATTCAGTGTTTATCTTAGGTACACTGCAGACTTGGTGAATTTTCTGCCATGTCACACAGCTTCTTTATTATCAAACTGGGCATACTTTACATAAAAACCGTTTCAACTATTTAAATATATTTACATCTGTGGAAAGAAATATGAAACTCAGTATGGATAATGAATCAATACATGATGGAGCAGAGACAATTCTTAAGAATGAAACGGAGTAATATTAATATTTATGAAGACTACCTTTTCCTTATTAATATACCTTCATATTTATACCAAGAGTTAAAACTTACAACTAATATAATGCAATAGGCAGTGTAACTGATAGCTACCATCACAGATATCCATGGCAGACCACTGTTCGTCATGTTCAGGATGTTGCAGCTTCAACAAATTAGGCAGGTCTAGTCTTTCAGCCAAATACTGAACTGCAGAAAAGGGTACTCTCAGTTGTGCAATTGGGAAACTTCCCATAAGAATCTGCAACATTTGGATTATTCTCAGATGCTGAACACCTAAACCTTTTGCCAGTGCATAAATTCACCCAGTGTCATAAATAATATCAAGATTAATGGATAATATGGGTAATATGATGGATGGAAAGGAAACAGTAACAAAATAGGCAGCATTTAACATTCTATCCAAGAGGAATTCAATATGGTCCCTGCTCATGCACATGCTTTAACATGTATCTCAGTCATGGAAGAGAACAAATACTATTATTAGACTGATTTCTCTTCATGTCTGCAAGAAGAAGTCATTTTTTCAAGGAGACCGAAGTCACAAGTGTTGTCCAGATAGTCTGCGGGGTGCTCAAGAATTTCTCATGGTCACGATACCAGGACTTTGATACTGACAGCCACATGAGCGAAAGCTGTGCAACACAACTGATGGATGTGCACAAAAATGCAGCCAATTTCATCATGGTTCTGGATGTAAGATTACATTCCAGGAACTTATGGTAATACTATTATTAACAGTTTGGTCCTGTGGGATTACATAATATAATGTGATGCTATAAACATCAGTATACCTTGAACATTACTTGCTTCTTTATGAAGTTCCTTCAAACAAGGAGACTGGGTGAGACTACTTCAGTTTGGGACTTTACAGAACCATAACTTGTTTTCATCCATGGTTATACTGCAGTGCAGGAATGATCATCGTCTATTCCAGGTTGTGGTTAGCAAGCACATAATGGGGCCTCTGCTTCTTACAGGTGATGAGAGACCTAATGTGACGACACTGCACATCTCAAGGATGTCTTTCAGAATGTGTATTGCCATTACTTGAGCCAACTGCTATGCCATCTATTACCTCTTCATGTGCAAGAATGACTGAATAAGTTTCACATACTGGTTCTGATAGCTGGTACTACAGCATGCTCAGCTGGTTTTTAGTGCCTCCAGGTATATAGTCTGATTTTCCTTCTGCCCTCCACCCAGCTAGGCAAGGGCACAGAATCCATTTATGTGGAGGGGTGCCTATAGAGCAGATTCTGTCATCCCCAGTGACAGGGTATGATCATGACAATGATTGTGAAATTTAATGTGGGCCATGTGACTGTTGAATACAGCAAAGCTTGGATGATACATGCTTGCAATCATCCCTTCGCATTACATCTGTTATGATTCCTGTTTTTATCCAATTTATATATGATTTCACAGCATTATATTGACAACTTGACGTTATACCTTATGTCACAGTGATGTGTAGGAACGTTAACTGGTTGAAATACTTGCCATCTGTACAGTTACCAGTGAAATACTTTAATACTCCCTTGTACATTTCTGTACATATCTTTTCAACCCTCATACAAGCATACCCATGTGTACTCTCATTCCCCCGTTCAGGAAGAAAGGGAATGACATCTACCATTAAGTGATTTACATGTAATGTGAACATTATGGATTATGATCAAGATTAACTAACAAAAACATTGAGAATGCAACCATAGGTCTGCAAAGTAACATCTGAAACTGGCATCAAAGCTTAACCCTTTGAGGTCTGTTGAATTCAATCTGACATTTGCAAAAGTTATGTTCTGGTTTAATACAACTCTTTATTAAGTCCATCACAACACAACAATACAGTGTTCAAGGCCAAATTAGCTTTGCTACATGTTTTGGCTATTCATAACCATCATCATGTTTACACACTAGTGAACTGCAATCTGTATTCCCTACAAAACGGACATGAATACATCGTACGATGAGACACCGACCAAACAATTAATGTTAAAACTATACTTCATGGGCCTCCAAACAGTTTATCATATTATGATACATATGTAATGGCAGTCTTGTAGTGCACTCAATTTCATATGTCGCTTCTTATTACATGTTTTGGCAACATAGTGCCATCTTCAGGTTCGTTATTTACGCTAAGCTATTACATTGTTTGCCATCTTGTGTCTTTCATAAAATTATTTAGAAAGTACATTATTCATCAACTATAATAAAGTTTGTATATATTAAAACTTGTTAAGATTATTCATCTATATGTCTAAATTCAACCTCGCGTATAGTATGGTTTGTCCACTATGGGAGTCGTTTCTGTGTGTACTGTGTCTGTGATGTGTCCTTCCTTTTTGGCTGCGAGTGTTGTAGGACACACAACAGGATGCATGAAATGAAAATTAGAAAATTCTGCTTCAATGTTGGGCTGAGTCTGACAATCCCTACAATATCAAAATGCTTTGAAGAATTAACTAAAATTTAACCTCCTGGTCTGTCATTTATTCAAATAAATGAGCCTTAAATGTAAGTCAGTGTAACACATTAGGAAAATCAAGTTTGAAATGTATCCAAATAAAATAAATGTAATATGGTGAGGAGTTGTCAAAATGTCACAGTGATGGTTCATAATAAATCATGAAACAATGCATGCATTTTAAAAACTATATCACAAACCATGTCAGAATTTTTAGCCTCTTTTCTTATTTCATAAACACTGATTGTAGGATTTTCGTTAAACTTAGTACGTATATAATGCCACTCAAACCTTTGTAATACCAACATGGCAACAATGCATGCGAGCAATCTTCCACAATATGCGGGAGTTACACATGTGAAATTGTGCATGGAAAGAAACATACCTACAAATTCTGCATGAATTAATTTTCTAAATGTTAACTGTTACAAGGGTGAGTCAAATGAAAACCTTAAATTTGTAATAAAAAATCGAAATTTCGGGCCATTATCCTGTAAGTTGGTAAGCGTGCTACAAACAGGGTGCAGAATCGCCTGTAGGTTGCAGCATAGTGCAGATACAAGAACACCGTCACAGCACCAGTATAAGATGGCTGCCCCACTTGAGACTTGCACCAGGGAAGAACAGCGTTCTGTTATTCGGTTTTTGTGTAGTGAAGGTGTGAAACCTATTGAAATTTATCAAAGAATAAAGTTTCAGTATGGTGATGCATGTTTGTCACAGCAGCATGTGTACGAATGGAGTACAAAGTTTGCAAATGGTGTGACTTAAGTGGAAGATGCTCCTCGTCCGGGTCAGGCACACTGAGTTGTGACTCCAGAGAACACTGCAGCAGTTGAAGCCATAGTGAGGGAAAACCGCTGAGTGACACTGAATGAAACTGCAGCAAGTTTAAACATTAGTCATGGTTCAGCACAACACATTGTGCACGATGTACTCCAGTTTCATAAAGTGTCTGCAAGATGGGTGCCACAGCAGCTGACTCCTGAATTGAAAGACCAACGTACTGATGCTTGTGAAGAACTTCTGCGGCACTCTGAACGAGAAGGTGATGACTTCCTTGCAAGAATCGTTACTGGGGATGAAACCTGGGTTCACTTCCGCCAACCGGAAACGAAGAGAGTGAGCAAGGAATGGCGCCATTCCTCATCTCCAAAACCGAAGAAGTTTCGAACACAACCATCAACAGGGAAGGTTATGCTGACTCTCTTTTGGGACGAAAAAGGCATCATCTTGGAGCACTACACGCCTAGAGGGACCACTGTCACCAGTTCATCATACTCAGATCTCCTAAAAAATCATCTTCGGCCTGCAATCAAATCAAAGCGACATGGATTTCTGTCCACAGGTATCCTTTTGCAACATGACAATGCTAGGCCCCATACTGCCCATACAACAGTTGCAACAATCAATGACCTGCATTTTGAGGGTCTTCCTCATCCGGCATACTCATCAGACCTTGCCCCAAGCGATTTCCATATGTTTGGACCACTCAAAGAAGCAATGGGAGGAAAGACGTTCTGTTCTGAAGAAGAGGTACGCCACGTGGCGCATGAGTGGTTGCATGGACTACCAAAAGATTTTTTTTCTAAAGGAATTCATGCACTTTGTACCACTTGTGCACAATAAATAATACTCAAAAAAATATTTAAGGTTTTCATTTGACTTGCCTACGTATAAACATAATGATGAATCAAAACTCTGTGGATATCAGACAAATTTAATACAGCCGCAATAGCCACACATTTGGGATATGAACAGAAATATGAGGGGCAGCCAAATGAAAATGGGTCAGAAGCCAAAACATATTAAAGAACATTTCTTAACTCAAAAGTAATCTCCAACTCTGTTAATACATTTATCACACTGGGAGATAAGACAGTCAATCCCATCCTTGAAAAAGCTCGTGGGCTGTCTAAGGAACCACATCTTTACCCAGCCATATGTCTTCGTCCAATGCAAACCGATGTCCACGAATGTCTCTCTTCAAGTCTCCAAAAATGTGAAAATCACATGGGGAGAGATCTGGGCTGTAGGGGGGATGTTGAAGCACTTCCCAACCAAATCTCTGTAGTGTATTCCTCACAGAGTTGGCAGTGTGGGGGCGTGCATTAGCATGAAGAAGGATAATGCCGTTAGATAGCATTCCAGGGCATTTTGACTTTATGGCACGTCTCAGTTTCTGCAAAGTTTCTTCATAGCACTGTGCACTGATTGTGGCCCCATGCTTGAGAAATTCGANTGTGACTTATTTCCATAAAAAGACTAATTTCTTCTACAGTGATCTGTCAGTTTGCTTGGATATGAACATCCAACACAGCAATAACATCAGGAGTGATGATACGATGAGCCTGTCCTGGGCAAGCATCATCTTGCAGTGACACACATCCCTTTTGGAATCTCTTATGACACACCAGCATAGGTGAACATGACATGCTGTGTTTGCCATAAGTAACAGACATGCAATGATGAATTTCTCGTCCTCCTACTCCTTCAGCAGTCAAAAAGTGCACTACACTTCGCTGTTCTTCTTTACCCGCCTCTATTACTGATGTTGGACGACCACACATAGTGCTAACCTTGCTTCCAGCACAATAAACAAACGACTACCGTGCAAGGGCACGTTTTCACTGTGCTTTCTCGAGTCCCCACCAGATGTTTGTACTGTAAGCGAATTCAAGTGTTACCAACTTGCACGCCGTGTGAGTTATGCGTGGTGACCCATTTTCATTTGATTGCCCTTTAGTTAGTTATTTAGAGAGGGTGCGTTTCTCCATGCACCGCGACCAGTTTTGATCTATTGTGCTTCCCTCTATGATGTTCTACCAGTCTCTATACCCTACCAATAAATGGTGCATACCATCAGTCCCGCCAAGCAAGCAAGTTCGGCCACTTGCTTAGCGGTGTCTATAATGCTTCCCCCATCTATCAGAGGCCTTAGTGACTATTGTCGGGCAGGAAACATTCTGGAATTTGGCTCAGTGATCCCCTTTGGTGATATGAGGTTCTTTTACGTGCCGTAAAGTTACGACACGGGACACACAGCTTAAAGTCCCTCCCAGAGGACTTGTTCCCTGAATTTTTCCGCCCTTAAAAATTCGATGACCTCCGCCGGGTATTTGAACCTGTGTACCACGAGTCATGAGGTGGGAATGTTACCTCTAGACTACGGAGGCCGCTTTGATTGCCCCTTACAGATCACTGAACTGTACATTTAACTTATTTATTTTTCTTGCTACCATTACCACATTGGCTGAATCATTTCAAGGAAAGCAGGCATCATAAATTCTTACCAAAACTTCTTAAAATAATTTTTAAATGCATACAGCTGTACCTGTAACGTCTTTGGGACTTTGGAAGGAAACACAAGACCTGGACAATCACACAGTCTTACATTAGGAGTTAGGTAGATGGTCTGGAAATGTTTCGTGTGCCCTGGGGTCCTAGACACACTCACAACCTGGAATAAGAAAATGTACATTGTTGTAATCTGGAACACATTAATAACAGAGAAATAAAATCAGTACCACATGTCATAATTAAGAAAGTTTGCAACAGGACAAACTTTCATTACTTACTTCAAAAGTCATGGCAACTATTTTTTTTGGGGCAAAAACGTTACAGTGAAGAAAGTTCAAAATATGCTTATGAAAGGGCATGATTTACCCCTTCGACTGGCTTAGTCAGATCAGGTAGATGTGAAGGGGCATAGGTATACTAGGCAAGAAAAATTGCACATTACAGAATGACTGTTTTTTTTTCATTCTTTAATCCTCAAAAAATTGAACTGTGATTAAGCAATAAAAAATTCAATGTGAGTTTTGCAAAATTAGATGCACAGTTGCCTGGTCAATCCTTGTATGTGTCTCTAACTCCTTCAGAGACCAGCGCCTATCTTCCTCCAGGCACTGGGCGATCACAGCACAAGAAACATCGGCACTTGCTTCTCTTCCACGTTGGAATGCTTCTATCCACCTTGCAACAGTTCTGTATGGTAGAGCACAATCACCCAGAGCTTCCACAAGCTCTGAGTGACATTCAGTCGCATTTCTGCTGCGAAGCACTGCTATTTTCACGTAACAACTCTGTTCCAGCCGGGTAACGTTCATTATCGACAAAGGTTATGATCACACTGACTTCGTGCTGGACTCGCTTTGTTGTCCTTGGACTTCCGCATCATCTAGCATCATTAGAAATCAGTCGTTGCTGTCTCTCAGCGGCAAATTTGGAAATTCCGGTCGAAGCTTTCGAAATTTCGGAAAAATTATGTTGCATGACTTTTGAAGTAACCCACGTATTATGAAGGAAGGACCTTTACATGAGGTGGTGAGAACAATCAAATCACTCTCCTTCTGTTCCATCCCTTTCTCTAATTCCATGAAAACAGTTATCATAAACTGAGTCTATACAATCTCTTGGGGTAGGATTTGAGGTACTCACAGCAATGACTATGAAAATACTATCTTCTAGGATGTAACACAACGTAATCTAGTAGAAGTTCACCAATATTTTGCAAGAATGTCTGAATTTCTACTAGACTACACAGTAACATATCCCATAAAAGTCCTTTCCATCTCTCATGAGCAGTCACCGTACCTCAGGGAAAAAA